AAGCAGCAGTTCTCCGGAGCAGCAGGCGCTCCAAGTAGCGGCACACAGTCCAGGGCTCGTGACCTGCAAGGTAGCTGGCGGCCTCCAGCGTGTCCTCCACGGTGTCCATGGAGAGCGGCAGCCAGGCCGGTGTAGATGAAGTTCCAGCAGGCGCTGCAGGCCGGTGGCCGAAAGGCACGTGCAGGTGAATCACGCGTGCCCGGGATTCCAGGGTGTGGCTCTTGAACAGGGCCCTGAAGTAGTCGCTGAGCACGCGAGGAGGGACCTGTGCACCGGGAACTCGCTGCCCTGGGCCTCCAAAGTCACGTCGCACAGGAAGCCCTCGGCGCGCAGGGCCTGGTAGCCAGTGAGCAGCGCGCCGCCATGAGCTTTGCAGTAAGACAGGAAGTAACTCATGCTGCTCAGGGTGGGAAGCGGCCGGCTGGGGGCTGGGGCCCGCAGGGCGTGGCCTGAGGCATCCTGGGGCCCCACGAGCGAGCCTCAGGGGCCCATTTTTTTCCTGCTCAGTTTAAAGCCGGGGGCTCCTTCATCAGATTCGTAGATCTCCCCGTCTCCCTCTTAGAGACAATTCGGTCTGGAACGGCTTCCAGAAGCCCCTAGTGGTGGAGGGCACCGAGGCTTCCGGGAGGTGCAGGGTTTGGTTTCCACGGCTGCCAGTGCATTGCCCAAAGCCCCCACACCGGCCCAGTTTGGGGAGCCCACACCTGCGCGCCAGGGGCCACAGTGGCCGCGCACCATCACCTGGAAGGGCTGAGCTGCAAGTGGACCTACTCCCGCGGATACTGGATCTCCGACGGCTCAGATGCGCAGATGTCGCCCAGCTCGGGGCGTCCGGGAGTAGAGGCGAGGGCTCTGACCTCCCGAGGGTGGATGAAGAAGACGGGTTCTGCGGGCATCCGCGAGGGCAGGGGACAACTGGCTATGGGGCGGGATGGGGGGTGAGCTTGTTCCGCGCAGAGGATCAAATCAAAGCCTAGGGGATTAGGGAGGGGGGGTGCGGGTCAGCGCGGGCAGTCGGAGGCGTGATTGGATGCTGCTCATAACAGGCCGGTAGCTCACAGCGACAAGAATAGCGCGTGGCTTCGGCCTCCCCTGCGCGCCCCGCCCCGCGCCCCGGCTGCTGGACGCGAACCGAGAGCCGGGATACCGGAGGAAGCGGCGGGGGCCTGGAACCTGACTCCGGCTACTCAGAGTCGCTGGTCTCCAGGGGGTCCCTGAAACTCGATTGGGGTTTGGGAAGAAGCGCTCACTGGAGAGGCTCGAGCCATTCAGGGTCCCTATGGGGAGGGGAGGCCGGCTGGGCTGGAGGAGTGTCTACCCCGTGGTGTCCCAGGAAGGAAGCCTCCGGCTCCCAACTTTGTGTTTTAATCCGGAGAGAGCGAGGATTAAGCAGCGACTTTGCGCGTTGACACCCTGGAGCCCCGGGTACTCAGAGGAGCCACTGGCGGGAACACACCCAGAGGAATTTGGGCTCCCGGTTAACGGCGCTAGGTCACACACCCTCACCTGGACTCAGCTTGCAAGGTTCTGACCCGCTCTACGCTTTTCCCGCGGGTCATTGCATTCGGGAATTTGCTCCCATCCCCGCTTCCCTGCACGTTCTGTTCTTGGACCCTGCCTGGCCCATCCCTTGACAGAGTGGACAAGGAAATTGTAGGTGACTGACTTGAGTTTTCTGCCTTTGAATGACCAATTGCTTTAAGAAAATTATTCTTAAATAAATCAGTTTCTCTCCTTGATTTTCCAGGCTCTGATCTAATTACTGCCTGTTACATCTTCAATGCCATAACGAGATAATGGACAGTAACCTTGCTAAGCTCTGTAGAGGCTGGAGTTTTCTACGCCCCCCGCCCCTCCATGAAGTTATTTTTATAAGATGCACCCAGCAGAGAAATGACTAAAACCACCCCAATCTTGAGACATTAGGAAAACATTTCTCCCATCTCCTTCGTTCTGCTCTTAAATAAGTAAATAATCACAGTAACTTTTCTTGGCCAATTTGGAGGCTACTCTGTGTTTTTCTTTCATCTAGGATGGATTTTTCTATTTTGTAATGCAACCCCTCTGGCCATCTGTGAACCTTTTGAGGGCATTAACTTGCATTTCTAACAGTTGGGGTTCTATTTCATAGGAAAAAAAGACCCAAGGAAGGATAAAATTTTATCATTTTTTGCCTGATATGCATTAGTACTTACAGTATAAGGTCTCTAATTAGAAATAATTCTGAAAGTGCATAAAAATATTAGTCAAAGTATTTTTGCTTTCTTGTCAAATATGGAACTACTTTGTGACTTAAATTATCCAAATTATAACATGCAGGTAGGGGCTCAGGTTAAGGGCTTGCTTAACATTTCAGAGGCTAAACGTGTTGCAGTTACTAATGTTAGAGCTAAGATGGGTTTATGGTTGATTTTTCCTTTTTAAGTACTGAAATTCTTATTTCAAAAATAAAATACCAATATGATTCACTGCACAGATCTATCTGGATGATGAAATTAAATGGCCTTCACTCAACCTAATAGAATTTTGCTAGAAGGAATATTTGAGATCCTTTAGCCAAACCCTCTCCCTTTACTCCACAATTTCTTGTTTATCTTTTTAAACAAATGTGGTAAATGAGCCCCAGAGGGAGTACAGTTTGCCTGGGTGACTTGAATATTGAGTTCCGAAGTCTGGACCAGTATCTATTGCTCCCTCCCCACAACATTATCTGACCTCATGTATGATAAAAATAGTGCAGCACAATTTATTTAAGCCAAATTTCAGAGTGATAAAGTTTAAATACAGCTATTTAAACAGCGTACTTTTAACCCCAAATTGGCGCAGACCTGCCCATCAGCATGCATTCAGTTGAATCCAAAATGTCACATTTGAGAATAAAATGCTTGGGGAAGACTTGAAACTCTTGACATCAACAATCCAATTTTACATTCCAATTGTGTGTTCATTGCTGACCCAACATGCCACCTTAACATGTTTTGCCATTGACGATATGATGAACTGTGTTAACTGAAGAAATTTTCATATTGGATGTGTTTACAAGGTCTTGTTTAGAAAATTTCAATTCATCCAAGAACATTCTTGTCCTTTGAGTAATGCTTATGGAAATACTTTAATTTCCGTGAAATATTAAGTATGTTAAATAACATTTCAGTGTGTGATTTTTTAGTTGTTGTGGTAGGTGTGTGTCTTAAGTTGGGCCTTCTAGAAGCAGACCATGCAATCCAACCTGAACACATGGTAATGCGCAGATGTCACAGGATCTGATCATTATGTTGAAAATGATCTTTATGAGTTGCCCTCCCCCTTTAGACTATCAACCCCTTGAGGGCAGGAGTTGTTTCTTGGCCTTTGTATCTCCGGTCCCTCTCGTGGTCTTTGGCATGACTAATGTTGAATTGAACCGATATAAGGAATGGCAACATGGGTGGGAGGAGTAAGGGGTTATTAAGAGGAACTTGATTGGGACATTTACTTCTTTCTCTCTGGTTCTCTTTCTTCCCTTCACACAGCTGGGGTTGAAGACACATCCTGGTAAGGCTGTGAACTAACATCCCTAGGAATCAGATGTGACTTTGGGTGGCCCCTCACTTGGGAGTCTAGGTGAATTCAATTCTTC